AATGACGAAGAGTGCACCGATGAAACTGGAGGGGTTTTACGAGTCTGTGTACAGTGCGAGGTGGAGCCATGTGGTGGAAGTTCCTGGCGGCGAGGGGACAGGAATGGATGTGAGGGAGGGGAAACCACCGCAGTCATGGACGTACAAGGCAGTTGGCAACACCTTCGAAAAGGATGACGGTGTGGAGGAACCCGGTGCACCACGTCTCAGGCTGACGGTGCTCACCTCGGACAAGGGATGGCCGTACTCGTGGAAGGAGGAGGAATCCATTCGTGACTGCCATGTGAACTGTGAGGTGGAGCGAGTGTGGCAGATCGTCAAAAAGGATCTCACCAAGTGGTTTAGCACTCACCGTGGGAAGTACTTGACGCCCGAGCCGCGTGTGTTGATTGGGACGCCCGGGATGGGGAAGTCGATGAATGCCGGCTCGTACCTCCTCTACCAGCTGCTGCACTACGATGCGGAGCAGCTCCCAATGGTTGCGTACTTTATTGGGAATCGAACATTTCTGTTTGACAAAATTGCAAAAACGGTGTCAGTGTACATGGGTGAGGCCAGTATCCTCCGTGTTGTGGAAGGCTTGTCTCAGCGTGGGTTTAAGGGGTATATTATCTACGACGTGGCATTGAAGGGTCATCAACCGCCTGCTGGTTTGCCTTGCAAGGGATGGGGCATGATTGTGGTGGCACCACCAGACAAAAACAACTACGAATCGTGGGCGAAGCAAACGGAAGCGGAAAAATTCATAATTAATTGTCCCGAAGAAAACGATGTGAAGGCAATGTGCTCTTGGATGAAGCGCAATCAGATTCCGCAGGAGCAGGCGGAATACTGGAAGGAGGTGAATGGTCGCATGAATAAAGTGGGGCCAATTCTCCGCTTCATCTTTGGCAGGCAGGCATCTGATGACCGCATTAAAGCGTGTCAACAATCCGTGGATGGGATGAACGCTTTGAAATTCGAGCGTTACTTGAATATTGGATATGGTTGTTTGTCCAATGACAGCGACTTGTATCAAAAGCTTGTGAAGGTTGTCCGAGTACGACGAAACAACATTGAATCGCCTTTGAATGTACTGATATCTCCCCATCTCGAACGTGAAACATTGTCCCGGTTGGAAAATGAAATGAAGCAGTCCGATTTTATTTTTCTTGTTTTGAGGTTCTGGGATTATGTCCCACCATATCTTATTGAAAAGTATGCCGTATCTGCATTTTTGAATGGGGATTTCCTGCGTGCGATAAGACTTAAAATTAAGGAACTGGAGCTACCAGGACGAGGTGATTCACACAGGTGTGCGCTGAAAGAGCACTCGGACAAGAGCTTCACCAGAAAAGAGGTTCTACCGCCACCGGAACGCCTTTCCAATCCAGTTGCTATGGACCACTGGGTGCTGTACGAGCCCAAAGTCAAAAACTTTCCGCTGGTGGACGGCTTTTTCTTTGTGGACACAAATCCGAAGACGCTGGTTGGGCTGCGGATGTCTACGGCAAGTGAGCATCACACCACAACCAGCACTGTGAGGCAGTTCACTGAGTGCCTGGCGGCATATTTTGAGGGTTGGGAGGAGTTATCCCGAGACATGTCGTGGGAGATTATTTATGTGCAGCACGAGATATACAGGCCGATGGATGACTGGCAGAGATGTGATGTCGTCAATTCCAATAATTTGGGCGACGATGAAAACCGAGAGATTGCGGCGTTCTTTAGGGAAAAGGTGCGCCAGTACCTTGCAGCAGTATCATCCTCTGACGCCAGAAGAGACGCTCTCCGGAGGTGAGGAAGAACGAAATAGGAGAACGAATTAGGGAAAGAAAGGGGTAGTTTTGATTTCTGGTAAAAAATTTATTGTGGGATTTATATATTTTTGGATACTTGTGTGGCTACGGTGCGGGTGCACCCGCACCAGGCGGTAGTATATCACATAGATTCCAAAAATGCCCAGCTCTATCGAACATAACAGTGACCGAAGAAATTAGGGAGGGAGTGGAGTTGTTTGGCTTCTGGTAAGGAACATTGGGTGATTTTCATACAGCATGTTAATTGTGTTTGCATACGAGGCATAATCGTGGAATTGCCCGGTATGAGAAAACCATTGTGGCTGGCGGTGTTATGGTGTTGCTGCATTTTCCATTTTATTCTATCGTGTTCCAAGGCCCACCAATAACAGAAGCATCTTTAAGGGATGAACAAAGAATAAGTTGTATTGATGAAATGGTGCACCCCGTGTAACCGTACGGAGTGAGGCGCCGCGTCATGGGTGGATGAGGGCCCGCTTCTGCGTGTGGCTCTTTGGGTGATTGTTCGCTCGCTGTGCTTTGTGTGTTGGCTGCAGGGACGTGGCCGCATCCCGTTGGCCGTGGGATTCAACTGGAGGCGGTGGCGGTGTGTCTCTTCTCGTTCTTGTCCATTGTGGGTGAATGCGGGCGGTGTGTGCGTTTGTTGTGTGGAGGACCGAATCCTCTCACCCGCGGACTGACAGCACTGCGATGGTGTGTGTGTGTGTGTGTGTGTGTGTGTGAGGGCGATGGTGCTCCGCGCTGTTCCTTCCGGATTGTCTTGTGTCCCGCTCTCCGCATGGGTGCTC